ACCAACCGATTTGTCCCTTCCGATGTGATATGTACAGTCATGCAAATAAAATTATTCAACAATTCTAATTTGTCAATGCGTTTTAATGTGTGACTTCCACCTTAGCCGTTGTTTTACGAAACATTTCTCGTTTCTCGTCGTGATTCTGCCGCTTACAGCGCCATCTGTTGCTAACTTTTGAAACTAAATTTTTTCTTCTGCCATACTCGTTCCGCCTTCTTCAATAACATTCCTTTCAAATTTCACATCATTTTCATCAGTGGTTCTTTTTTTATAGCGTTTTGAAACTTAAACTTTAATTATAATCACCCTGTATTTCTTCTACCGGCATTCCTTCCGTCTATTAAAGGAAAGGGATGAAACAAACTAAACATTATTCTTTTGTCTCCTGAAATTAATGCAGGCACAGGTTGAATCAAAGCCGGCACCTGCGCATCCAATTAGGCATATCAGATATCGCCAAGCCATGCTAACTGCTAAGACTGCGCCTCAGATAGAATTCTGAGGGAGAACACACTGGGATACGTTCCGATGGTCTCCCAGTCCTCTTTCCTTACCAGCAATCTTTCAAGAGGATTTTGACTCACCGTGCATTTTGAGTGCGTTTCTACACAGAGACATCTATGCTTTATACAGGATTCGAACCCAAGCGCTTCGGTGCAGTAGTCAGCTTCACTAATCACTGTATCGTCTCGGAGGTTCCTGTGCTTTAACACGTTGATAGGATTCCTTTAACTAAAAGTCATGCAGCTGGTACTTATATGTAACGTTCTATCTCGAATGTCAATAGCCGAATGCTGATAAGATGCTAAATGCTGGTTGTTCGATTCGGATTAGATCCCCTGTAAACGGACTGGCTGCATAGGTGTTTTCATAGTTTTCCTCAAGCATAATGTAAATACGAGTTCATATCTCTTAGAAGCCGTAACTAAACCGAACTGTGTCGAATTGCATTTCTTTTGGTGTAACTAAAATACATAAAATAAAATTTCAACCCGTTAAATTTATTCTGTCTTCTAAGTTTTTCCAGGATAGAATGTTGAACATAGAAATTTCTGCTCCTGCTGTGTCCTGAATTAACATAATCTAATTAAAAAAACGTTTTCTTGAAATCCTTTTATCTGTGGTCACACCTGGGAAATTTATTTGATTGTTATTATTACGCGGGAATTTTTTAATGTATTTAACGTGTTCGTGCTATCTTCTGGTTGGCTGGCATGATTTGTTTTAAATAAAAAGTTAAAAAAGAAATAAAGATCTGAAAGCTTTCAGATTTTATATTATACCCAAAGGAGCGCTTTTTAACGTTTTGCGTGTTCATTTATTTATTAAATATCATGTTCTTCGCACTTAAACCATAAAATTCAATGCAACAGAAACATCACTAAACTCTTTTAAATATTTAGAACTTTAAAATTTCCGATATGCAGTCTTGCGGCAATGGAGATATTTTTTTTTTTTTTTTTTTTCCTCTTTTTCGTACAGTGTTGCCATTGCCATTGCTTGTTTTGAAATCATCGAGTTTGCTGATCAAAAATTAGCTAACGTTTTACAAAATATGAAATTCTAACTAATATTATAAATGCGAATGTGAGTTTGTTTGTTTGTTTGTTACGCTTTCAAGCCTTAATTACTTAACCGATCGTCTTGATATTTTCAAGAAATATTTTTGATAAAAAGGAGTGACCCTTTCTTCGTTCGCTCTTCTCGATAGTGAGATATCGCCCGATATTCGGGTGAAACCACACGCATTACAAGGAGTTATAATACTCTGCTCACTCCTTGATGGTGCGATTTTTATATGCTTATTTTATATTTATTTTATTTGCAAACTGAAAAATTGGTATTTGCTGTATGTAAAGTTTATGGCTGAGGTAAAGTTTTAGATTTCTGGTTAATATTATCTCTTGAAAAAATGTTTTACGCTACTTTTTTAACATGCTATTGTGATTTTAAATATCTGACATATACATCTGTTTAGATTTGCTACCTATGTACTTACAAAAACATTTACTGGTGATGAAGAAGATTATGAATCAAAGTAGACCGTTACTGAAATAAAACGCACAGTTTAAAGACAACCATATCTTCATTGTTTGGACATATAATTTTTCTTTCCATATCTAACGAAATATATATTTCAAAAAATTACATCCAAATTAAAATATTGGAAATTCGGTGTCATGTTACAATATTTAACATTCTGAAATACTTAACACTATCGCTATCAGAAACATGGTTTTTGCCCTTATCTATGTGTAGTAAGTAATAAAAATAAGGAAATCGATGCAACTTATACATAAAAACTGGAATAGCAAGAAATTCAGACTGAAAATTTGGTTTTTTAATAAAAAATAAGGTATTTCAGGTACTTAAAAATTTGAATAAATATTTCAGAAATTTTCAAAATTTGATGTGAGAAATCAAAAATGCTTAGTTTATAAGGTATTTCTCCCGCCTTCTTGGCATGCCTTTATGGTGTGATGGTCTGCACGCTGGGCGCGTGTTTCAGAGGTCCGCGGTTCGATTCTCGGCGAAGGCGGTTGCATTTGTTTTTGAAAAAAATACCTAATGTCTCTGCAAGTTTTATAAAAGAAATTTAAAAATCATATATAGCGATATACATTCTGAATTTTGTATACATATTTTAGTTAAAAAAATTATGATTATTCATAGCTTTCATTCACAAGATTAGAACATGCAATTATGTAAGCTAAATTTTCCATTAAATAATCATAATAGTCGAAAATTAATTTATTAAAAATATTTCTTGCAAAATTTGAATGTGTTAAAACGGCTGATCATATATATATATATATATGTCTCAGTAAACCTTTAATATAATCTTCTAGATTTAACTTCCTAAAATGTTACTTATAAATGAATATTTTAATACAGTTTGTGAATTGATGTTACTGGTAGTTTGTCTACTTGAGCATAATAGGCATAAAAAATCGAATAATAAATTTTAATATACATTAAAATAAGAAAAAAATGTGAATTTACTTTCTCTTACATGAAAATTATTCAGCTTTATTTGCAATGTATGAGATTCAGAAAATAAGTAACCATAAAATACTCTCATGTTATTGTTTTTAACTTCATATATTGCATAAAATGTTGACAAAGAAATATTTCTACTTCTTATTACAAAATTATGAAGAGCTTAACATTAATTAACCTATTACGCCAAATTATGAATAAAGCTTAAAATCTTCAGTTAGCTCATAACGCTTTTTACTTTTGAGAAGTTATATGCATACAAATTCCTCTACCTTAATCATTACAGGTGAATAAATGTTTACATATATTTTTAGACTATAACTTATTTTTATATATGCTAATCTAATTCCAAGTCTCATATGCGAAGAATAAAGTAAATTTTAAAGTTAAATAATATGGATTAGCTCACATGTGTAAGATAAAAATTAATTTTTCATAATTCTGCCGAAATTTCTTATGTATTTTATTTTATTGATTAAATCTAAGTAGAAATTAGCATAACTGCAGAATTGTAATAATTTCCATGAACAAAGTAATTTAAATATAAATGAAACAAGCAATGCATGAAAAACTTTTTATTACGAAATATATGTATACATACATATATAAATGGACAATATGACACTAAAAATATGGCAATAAAATGACATTAAAAATCTAAAAATTAAAAAACTATTAAAATGTACTCTAAGTTGAAGACGATACGACTTCACCAGAGAATTCAGTAAAGTATACGATTTTTATTTCTTGCTGACATGCTGCAATTTTACCAAACAATTTGCTCATTTGCGTTATAAAAAATCAAAACTATAGTATGAATTTCTTTTTCACCTCTGTTCTGCCCATTTGAATTAAAAATGCATGTAAAACTGAATTTAAATGATTAAAATCGATAGTGTTGTATAAATTATACAAAAATAAAAAATAATTTTAAGAAGTGTTTACAAAAAGTAACATCCATGCATATAGCTTTTATCGTGTTAGCAGTATGTAAAAGTTTGTTTGCGCGTGCAGGTGCGTGACTTAAACCGCACAAATATTTTTTATAGCCTATAACTTTTTATAATATATCAAAAATGTTTCTTGAAAGTTTCATGATGGTCGATTAAGTAATTAAGACATGAAAGCGTAACATTTATTAATTAAGCTTTAAGCGCTTATTAATTTTTATTTGTTTAATTTAATTTATTATTTAAAATCCATCAGGATTTCCGGCTCTTGGCTCTTCTTTCACAAACATTTTTCAGTCATTAAGAAATATACGTAGCAGTTTTACTAGATTTCGTGACGATACACTCCGCGTAAATATAAAATATCCGCGGCGGTCTATAGCTATTGAAGAAGTGCAGCATTTACTGAAATTTTACTCTAAGTGTATTTTTAAAATTCACGCGGAGTTGAAACTTATTTAAGGACATCAACGCGAGCGAAGCCGCGGTTGAAAGCTAGTAGACAATAAAACAAATTTCATATTCCAAATTTGGACTTCCGGATGCCCATTTTTGAGTGGAAGACTACGTTATTTAAAATTTGATTTACTTAAAAATTGATAAAATTGTTTTTCCACAATGCGAGAAACATACATATATTCATTAATTAATTTTTTTAAGTATAATGCAGGGCTCTAATATTTGGTGGCAACAGTTTGAAAAGTGAAACGCCGTTTTATAGTGAATCAACCCAAAATGCCAAAACGAAATTAAGGGCAAATTGTCCCTTTGAACTAATATAAATTTTAAAACAAATATTAATTTATTTTAAAATAAAAAATTTCAAATAAATCTATTTATCTATTATTCTATTGAGATATTCTTGTTTTCTGAAAACGGACGCATGATAGAGCAGACGAGGGTAATAAGATGCTGTGCTATTTCAGTAGTTTCCTATCTTTTATTTAATGAGCACACGGCGTGAGGTTGATCTTATGAAACTTGTTTTTTCTTCCGAAACATGTTTTTAAGTTATTAGTGTTGCTAATTATTTCTCTTTTCTCACAGCTCCTGCCAACATACTCGATTTCCCTGAGAAAATGAGCGTCATACAAGGTCGAACCTTGAAACTAAACTGCAAGGCGCAAGGTTTCCCACAGCCCAAGATTACATGGTATATTGGTAAGTAGGTTATTTCTCTTTGCAACAACCAACTTATCATCTAAACTTCGCAGTCATCACGACACTTTTTTCAATAAACTGTCCGTCCAAATGTGACATGTTTACTTCATTCGTTGACAGAAATTGATGATATGCGAATAGATAGCGAGAAATAACTTCTTATTTCATAGCTTTGTGACGGGAAACTAAAACCGGAGAGAAAACATTATTAACTATTCATCTAAATGGATAAGATAATGAATGACAGGGAACTCTTCTTGTGTATTTGCCAGATAAAATTATATTATTCATTCAGAGTAAAGGTATATAAAACGTTTTAATCTTTATAGCACTCAAGAGGATTCTACGTCCAGTTCAAGGACCGAGATATTTTTCTGATGAAATTCTGGTAAAATTTCGTGTATTTACTATTTGCTTCGAAACCTTTAATTTTTCCACTGTAATAATATCATTTGTATGGAAACAGTGATTTTTTCCATTTTATTTCACAAATATATCACTGATACCATTTTGCACATTCAGGAATGAAAAATGGGAAAATCGATGTATATATTAAAATTTATGTCACCAAGTGCGCAATGAAAAGTAATGATATCAAAACAGTCTATAAAAACTATCAATATTATTACGAAATGCCTAGCTACGGTAAGATAGCTACCCCTCAAAGCGAGTTTAGGGTTGCCAGATTTGGCGTGAAATCGTCGATTTGGAGTCAAAATTGGGGATATGCTATAGACGGAGCGAGAACATTATAGAATGAATTGTTACCGGTTTTTCCCGCAATGTGCTCGAAGACAGGTCAAAAGCTATAAATAGGCTGGCTTTCACGGACTACTGTGTATCGTGAAGAGTATGAGTATCTTGAGAGTATCGAGAGCATGTTGAGTTCAGTAGTATTATCCTGAGTTCAGAGATTAGCTTGAGAGCATAGGCGTAGCTAAGGTTTTTAGCGCCCGGGAACACCTTAAGATTTTGCGCCCCTTTCTGTGTTCCAAGAATGGAAAACATTTAATTCTGAAATGTGTATCATCAATTTGGCGCCTCCTGGATGCTGCGCTTGGGAACGGATGTCCCCCTTGCCCCACCCTAGATACGCCACAGCTTGAGAGCGACCGAACAGAGTCGGGAGCTGCAGTTTAGTGCTTTGCTGTGAAGCTGTCTTCCCTTTTATAGCCTGAAAGCAGGAAGGACTGTGTTATTAATTGTTTCAGCGTGTAAACGTAGTCTTTTCGACGACTGTAAACGTGTTTTGGAAATCTTCTGTGTAATACCTGCGAATAAATTTTATTTTGATTCTTCATTAAGTAATTGTATTTTGATTCTTCATTAAGTGTTGTCGTAAATCACTCCAAATCCATGTATCCGCAGAACGCAAGAATATTATTATTGTTTCTTATAGATTTTTCCAATCTTCGGTTATATTTTTATTTCTCTCATAAACATAAAGACCTATATTTCATGTGCATGAACCATGAATATTTCTATATAGTACACACTCATTATAACGCATGGCGGCGCTGCAAAATTAATCTTGTATTACAAGTCCGCTCGTGTTATGTTGTCGTGTTGCTTTCCAATGAAAAAGGTAAATTTAATATACTTTCTCCTTGAGACATCTCTAGGAAAGTGACTATTATTTCTGACTTCTGATAGTAATCAGTATTTCTGAGAGCATAAATAAATGTTTGTAACGAGCGTCATCTATCTAAAAGGACTATTTCCACAGAGGAATAAAATCATCTGGAATCGTGGAAAGTTTCTTCGCACGCTATGCAAAATACACGGAGTTCATTATATTTCCAAAATATACGAAGAAATTATGATCAGATTCAGAAATCAGTTTGTCAGATTATTTACAAGAACATTACTTGAATATTTTGCGACATTTGCGTGAAGTAATTCGTAGAATGCAAAATGAATTGCGCAGAGGAGTTTGCATCACATTACGCCTGCTCATAATGCTCTTCTTGTTCATGAATGTTTGGCGCAAAATTCCAATCCATTCGCTGAATATCTTGCTCGCGATGTTACTACGTTACACATACTGTGTGTGGGAGGGCGTTATGATAAACTAAAAGGAATCACCGATTGTAGCAGCCAATGGATGTTACATAAGGATCGAGGATGTCGTCTCTATACATCTAAGATGGACAGGTCATCCTGGAAACACATGCAGGCCAGCATAACAGTTTAGATTTATTCTTGCCTAAACGAGGCTAAAGCCATCTCATTAACAGTCCCGTTCAACAATGTTCAACTGGCTCTACGATGTTCCTCTCTTCTTCAGATCATAACAAAACACAGCTGTATTACTAGAGCCTACTTGGACTCCTCTATGAAGAATATGAAAAGCCATTCACCTCTTTTATAAACATTATTTGACGTCTTTATCTTTCATTATTGAAAAAAGTTGTTCGAAGTAAAAGAATCCAGCTGTAAATTTGACGAAGAATGCTATGATACTCAGGACAAAATTATTACTCAACAACACTCAAAAGATTTGTTTTTTTATGCTTCCTAAAACACTTTTAACTCTAATTTAGCTTTTAAGACTTAGTAACAGTTTGTTATGTTTTCTTTCACTTCATATCATTGAACTTTTGCTGTAGCGTTAATACTTGCATTTTTTGCTCAGTAAATGTTTTGCTGCATTTATTATGCGTTCGTATTTATCGTGTAGGAATTAGATTGGATTTAAACTCCTGCTGTAGTTGTAGCAATGGCAGCTTTCATAAAGAACAGATAACTGCATATCTGTATTCGTGAACTGCTTGCTGTGATGTTGAAATGTCGGAATCTCTCGATATATCTCGGTTATTCTACGTCATCCTGTCACTTGTGATCATGTCACGTAGGAGCGCGATTATATGACATAAGATATGTAAATCTATTTGTCGTGATGTTCATTTTAGTGTTCCTATGCTCAATAAGGCGAGTTATATTACTTTTTAATTTCTATCTCTAAACTGGAATTGTACTTGCAGCATTATATTAAGTTTTTAGTTTGTTATATTCTTGTTCGTGAACACTGTATCTTGTTCGTTTCTTGTTTCTTGATAAGCCATGATTTGTAAAGTCTTCATTTGAACAAAAACATTATGAATGGCAATTCAAAAGTACCTGATCATTATCTGGATTCAGAAAAAGCAGATAAAATAATTTCCATGTTATTGAGAAAACGTATTATTGACAGTGAATGGCGCTCCATCTCTCGCATCCATTTCCTCTTGATTGCTAGTTGCCAACTGTAGGTTACTATCCCGTGTAACTCTAAGCTAAAAAGACTTAAACCTGCTCAGACCAGCGAGTTATCGCTTCGTCTATGAAAGAGTAACAGAGTCAGTCCTAAGAAGGTGCTAAGCTTTTTTTTTTTTTTTTTTACTTACGTTTCACAAAATGCACAACTTTTGCGTGCAGATTAAAACTCTGTTACCAGTGGAATTTAGAAAACAGAAACTTGAATTCACAAATTCAGATGCTTTCGTAGCCGAAGACTATGCAGTGTATATGGACTACCTAAAGGGCTGACTTAAAATTCTAATTGCGCCATCCAATATCGACTAGCAAAATGGATAATGCCGGTATACTAACTTATCAGAATTGGTGAGAGAAAGTATATCTGCGACTGTTGCTGCCGAAAGCTCTGTACCATGGAAGTAGGAAGTAAGCTCTTAGCTCTATGTTCTATACTTAAAACTTCCAAGAACTCAGCCTTAAATAGTCGTTGTTCATACGCATCTTGGTGGGAGCTAATAGAAAAGAGAAATTATAGTATAGATCTAGATCATATAAAATGAGTTAATTGACAGAAACTGGACAAGTAATCTGTACTCTATGAATTCGCAGGAATTTCATCCAAAAACAGCTGAGTTTGGTTAGCGTGTAAGAAAATGCTCATCTTGCCTCTTCTTTTAACAAACCACTGAAGAAACTGATTATAAGAAATTTTTATCTGTTTATGATTAATTTTTCTAAAATTTCGTTTAGAAAATCCATTTTAACTAAACCTGTGTTGCTGATTTCGGTACCTTTTGAAATGCTACTTTATTAGCCCAAACGGGCAATTTGCCCCAAAGGGCTATTAATTTCGTTTTGACATTTTACGTTGGTTCAATATAAACGGTGTTTAACTTTCCAAATTGTTTCCACCAAATATTAAACCCTGCATTTATTTAAAGAAATTAAATAATGAAATTAATAATGAAGAATCTGCATGAATGTAGGTACGTTTCTCGCACTGTGAAAAAACAATGGTACCTAGAGACATCAAATTTTGAATAACATTGTCCTCCAGTCGAACATGGCCATCTTGAAGCCCAAATTTGGAATTTTTTGGCATTTTACGTTGGTTCAATATAAACGACGTTTCACTTTTCAAAATTTTCCACCAAATATTAGAGCCCTGCATTTATTTAAAGAAATCCTTGAGTTTGTTAATCAAAAATTCGTTAAAGTTTTACAAAGTATGAAATCGATAATTAAACAAATTTCAAATTTCAAATTTGGGTTCCACTTGCCCATATTCTCAGTAGGATTATGTCATTCAAAATTCGATGGCTCTATGTACCTTTGTTTTATCACAATGCGAGAAATATACATACATTTTGCAGATTTTTCATTGTTTAATTTCTTTAAATATAATGCAACATTTGGTGGCAATAGTTTGAAATGTGAAATGGACATTTGTAGTAAACCAACGCAAAATTGCAAAAGGAAAGCGATAGTCCTTCAGGGACAAAGCCCCTTTGGACTAAAAAAAAAAAAATTCTTTAAGCTTTTTAAAGATTGCTGATGATTTTGATGCTATAATTTTGCAATATTTTGCACTTCTGACTAAGGCCTCTAGGGAATGGACTGATAAAAGACACGGATTATTTTGATTAATTCTTTAAGTACTGAATTTTAATTTGTGCCTTTGTCGGTTAAGAAACAGAGTAAGGTATTATTTCTTTCTTTCATTGAACCAACCCTCTGATGATGAAGCAGCAAAAGATGTTTCCGAATTAAATATGGGATGGATTTTAAATATACTTTAAACTAATTTTAACATAAGTCTTAGAATTTAAATTAAGATATAAAAATCAAATCATTTTACCTCTTCGCATCTTCTTGTAATAAGTAAAGCATTATGTTCATAAAAAGTAAGAGAAGGGAAGAAAACACGAAATGTTTCAAAATTAGAGTCTAATCATCCAGCCATTAAAAGATGCAAGAAATGTTAAAACTTCCTTTAAATGATTATAGTTTTTATCTTACAAGAAACATAATAACATGCCGTCTTATTAAGACAGAAAAGATGCTAAAAAGAAATCTGAAAATATTTTAATCTTGTAACGTACAACTGTGAGCATTTTTACATATGATTTTCTTTTAATCAGTTATTATGAATTGCTGACAATTGAAATATATTAAAATTGTATTCTTTAGGAAACATTATGGCATCTCATCTTAAAGAATTGGATATACGGATAACCATATATTCTTTAGCTGATGGTGGCCAAGTGAACACTTTCCTTGCCATCAGAGATGTCTCTGACGAAGACAGCAGTCTGTATACGTGCAGAGCAGAAAATTCTATTGACTCAGGACTTTCTGTAGTATATGATGAGGAATCTGTTTTTGTTCATGTAAGAGGTAAGCATCAAATTTTAACCTTCTTTTCTGTCATTATTATTGTCTACCAGTTGTAATTAGTTAGAAGTTAGGGATCTTCTTAATTCTAGCTCCCGTGAGCTTGTTTTTGATACCCCTGACCCACCGACTCAAGCCACTACTAAGGAAATGCTAGCGCCGGATTTACTGCGTGTTTCTTTTTATTTGTTTACTTTTTTAAAACGATATATTCCTGAGGACCCAGAATCTGGGCATAGACAAATTTGTACCCCAGTTTGTATAGAAAACTACGTCTCCCTCTTTTCAAAGTAAATCAAGAAATTTAAAAAAAAAAAAAAAAAAAAAAAAAAAAAAAAAAAGCTGATTGGGTAGGTTTTCGGAGATTAACTGAAATCAGGTTGCCAAAAGCAAAGAGTCAGGGCTTAAAAATGCTTTTGGTCAGGGAAAGTGAAGGAAATTAAAACTAATCGGGATTGTTAAAGAAGAAAAGATGACTTATCTATAAGGCAGGCGTGATGCAAAACTCTGGAGAAAACATGTACTAGTGCTCGGGGAGGCTGTCTTGGAAGCTAAACGGAAATCTTTTGATAAATTTACATTTAACATCAATAATAAGGAAAATAGCATGAAAATATATACATTCTTGGCATTTTTGCAAAATAAGAGACAGGCTCTTAAAATTTAATGGGAAAAGTTTAACTTCAGATAAAGTTGTGACGAATACTTTTGGCCAAGCTTTTCCTAAGATCCAGGTAAAAGGGGATTTTCACCCAGAAAATATCAAATCTAAACAAGGAAGAAATTAGAGAAGCTAAGTAAAAGTTAAAACAGCTCAATTGACACTCACGATATTTTTACTATTCCTTTTTCTCTAGATGAGTTTAGAATGGCCATTGACGGACAGAGAATGGAGAAATCCTTAGGAGAATATAACATCCACGTAGAATTTCTGAATTATTTGAGTGAAACTGAGAAGGGCACTGAACTATGTATCTTTAACAGAATCTGAGCGACAGGTCTAGTATCTGCGCAGTGGAAGAGAGGTGTGATTTTACCTCTTCCTAAAGAAAAATAAACATCTAAAATAACTTAGTAGTTATCGGCCAATTTCCCTATCTAGTGCTATTAGAAAGACTATGCAGAAACCAATTTTTACCAGGTTAAATTGGTTACAACCTGATAACAGAGTAAATTGGTTACCAGAAACCTGATAACCAATGAAAAGGCAAGGTTTCGAAAAATCCGATCAACATCGGATCAGGTTGCTAAAAGATGCTTTTGACAATCGAAATATTTTAACAGCAGTTCTTCATCAAGCAACGCAACAAAATTTTCGATGGTTTATAGCTCATCCACGGATAAGGTTTACTGTTTTAATTACCGTTTCCAAAATTTGATTAATTTGCAAAATTTTGCCAGATTGCTTCTTGATAAATAATGCGATGTATTCTAAAAATTCTAAAAATTTATCTTCTTTCGCTATATTTCTAAAATTTACCACTACTCCATTCTCTTTTACCAAACATAGCACACTTGCAAATCCAAACAGTTTATCCCAAATTAATTTATTTTTAATTATTGCATTTTTTATTTCTGAAAAAAATATTTTGTACAATAGTTTTTCCTTTCACAAGAATTATTTCCAGTAATTCTCAATTATTTCAAATTCATCAGTAACATCTCTTATGAAAACAGCAGGCGGTGCTTTATATCTGTACTACCAGTACTCTTATCAGCTGCTATTGAGAATGCTGCAAAATCAATAACTTTTTTCATTTACTGGTGTAGTGGAACGTAATTTAATGTTTTTATATAATTATTAAGATTTTCTAATTGGCAACATGATGTAATGTTTTTGTATAGTTATTAAGATTCGCTGTGTGGCAACAAGGAGTTTAGTTAAAAACGTTGTTACTTGGAGTGTTCCATGATAAGCATTGCGTAAGCCTTATTTCTTAAAAAGCTTATTATATTATTATGTCAAAAAAATAAGAAATATGTTGTAAACAAGTATGGAAGTTATATAAAAATAAATATGCTGTTTTTTTAAGACCAAAATAAGCATTTATTTAAATTATGAAATGCTTTGACTGTTTAGTTTCAATTTCGCTTTCCCATCAATACCCCCATTGAAAGACTGGTATCAGAAGGTTGCGTGTTCAAATCACGTCCGGGTCACCAGTCTTTTAAAGTTGGTGAGGTGAACGTAAATGACTAAACGTGCCCTACAATTTTAGATAAGCACTTACATCTTAAATAATTTAGAATAGTTAGTAGAGGTTATGAGACAAGTTGCCAGCAGGAAGGCGAAGTGGAGAAAGAGTGATACGTAATAACTGCAGTAGTATTTATAAGCTCGGAAAGTCTTTGTTTTAATCCGGAGCAGTGATTGGGCAAAAGTCAACAGCAATGCCATTAATGCAGGGAAACTGAAAATGTCTTGCAAGGGTTGTGCTTTAATTGAAAATTAGAAATTTAAAGGCCTACTGACAGTTTGCTCTAATTAAGTTTAATTTGTAGATAAATTTCCATCTCAATTCATCAGTTTAAACTATTTATAGCTTACCAGGAATGTGTAGAAGTTTATTTTGTTTTACATATACAGGAAAACTGCATGTAAAGCAAAATAATTCCAGCCACCCGTTATGTTTTGATCGTCCACTCATCTGTTCGGTTGGGTGCGAGGGAAAAAAAGAATTCCTATACTGCATTTGTATTACTTTTCTATATTCAACATTTCGAAAACAGCTTCATATGGAATGTTTTTCTTTGATGAACGAACATATCTGAAAACATGTTTCTGTCTTCTGTATATCCACAAAAAGCATTAGTATTATTCTGCTCTTTTGTGATGCGTTACATAAATCTAAACTTTTCTCTTACTGTTTTTTTACTTCCTTGTACGAAGTAAAAAGGAAGTATTGTAATAGCGAAAAGTTTCAGGCAGCATATTTCAACGAAAATATCCATTTTGACCGCTATCGAATGCAATTTAACAATGTTTTTGCGTGATATCTATACGTAAGAACAGAATAAAAGACTCTTTTCCATCAAAAAAAATTATAAAACTGCTTTAAAATTAATTCTGAAGAGAATTTTTCGTTGCGACTGTACGAACGTATGTACGTACGTGCGTACGTACGTACGTATCTCGCATAACTCAAAAACGAGTAGCCTCAGAACGTTGAAATTTTGTATATAGGACTGCTATAACATGTAGATGTGCACCTCGTATTTTGGTTGCAATCGGCCGCACCAAACGTATATAAATATATTTATATATGTATCTAACTCTGTTACCCGGCTCAATGATCTCAGTTTCTTTACTCTTATATGTTTGTAAATTGTACATTTTTTGCTTTAAAAATGATTGAAATATGTTGTTCATATCTTCCGGTTAAGGTTTTATGCCTTTAATAAATCTGTATGATATATTTTTAGAATTATCAACAATTTTAAAGTTGTTTAAGTGCCACTAAGCCTAATAATTTTTTTGATGGCGGCCATTGCTTGTTTACATTTGAAACAGCAGGATAGTGGATTTTTTGCCAATCTAGAGAAACTTAGCTTCGCAAAAACAAAGATAACGCCTTCATTTATTATTGCGAATTAAATCATGCTTAATCCTTTCTGCAATTTTTTCGAGGAAATAAGTGTTTAAGATTTAATTCGTAATTTTTAATACTGATATTTTGAGTTTTTATGTATTTTTGTCTTGTCGCGAAGGGAGAACTGAATTAATTGAATGAGAAATATCTCCCAATCGTCTGTAGAGGAAGTAACTGTTCCTTTTTGAAATGTTTTGAAAAAATGCTTAATTTCTTTATACATCATTCTAGCTTTATTATAGTATTTGAATAGAACATGTGGCAACGATCAGATAATTCTTTAAATGATATCAATTTTGTGCATTCTGAGTTATAATATGAACGAAATATAAACTGTTAAGTGAGCCTAGCGCCAGTGTGTCGCTATGGTAAACAAATAGAGTGAATTTTAAAAAGAATGCATTTATTTTATTGTGGCTTATGCGCTGTCGGAGAAGTAGATTTAATTCAATCCAAAATTTACTAATGTTTCATGGACAGAAAAGCAAAGATTTTTAAACTCAGTCAGTAAATTAATGATCAACTGAAAATTCATAAAGAAAAGCAGTTTCAGGTTAAAATTCCCTTTCTGAATGTCTCGAATGTAATACAAAATAAAAAAGTAAAATGCAAATTTGACATTGATGTTATCACTGTCTGAATCTTTAAATAACTCCTAAATGTTTTATTTATTGATCTTAAAAACAGATGAAATGTTTTAAAATTAATATCATAACGTTAAAAAGTCTTGAAATTATTGCTTAAGAAAAAGCAGAAACAGAAGATTTATTTATACCAAAGAGAAACTTTTACTTTATTACGTTGAGATAAAGATAAACTTTATTATTCTGATAATAGATAAACTTTTACTGACAAAGATTCATTACTTGATGTTCGAAAAGATATTTTTAATAAATTTCTTAGCAGGAATATCATGCTAAGAAATACCATTCACGAATATTTTGAATGGTAATCTGCATGAATAGCATTCAAAATATTATCCTTCCAAAACAATATGGAAGAGGTCCATACTGTTTTGGAACTTATGTTGTTTGTACTCGTCTTTAAACAGTTGTTTATACTACATCCTTAAATCATCTGAATTTTCGCTTTCATAAATTACAAGAAATATAATTAGCATTTAATACCATCCTTTTTCAAATCAGCAATCCGCGTATAACCTTAAAAATTGGGTTCCCACCTCCTCCCGCTTTAGGACTAAAATTTAGATATTCACTCCCAAAGTTTTATGTCGCTGAATATTTAACTTTATTTTAAAAATCTGATGTGTACACCACATGACTTCCTTGTACGGAATATTAAATTATACGCATTTTTCTTGCATTTCATTTGAACTTATTGGAGTGAATTAAATCTACTTCGCCGACAGCGCATAAGCCACAATAAAATAAATGCATTCTTTTTAAAATTCACTCTATTTGTTTACCATAGCGACACACTGGCGCTAGGCTCACTTAACAGTTTATATTTCGTTCATATTTTAACTCAGAATGCACAAAATTGATATCATTTAAAGAATTATCTGATCGTTGCCACATGTTCTATTCAAATACTATAATAAAGCTAGAATGATGTATAAAAGAAATTAAGCAAACAAAACAAAAAAGGAACAGTTTTTCACAGACGATTGAGAATTCTCATTCAATTAATTCAGTTCTCCCTTCGCGACTAGGACAAAAATACACAAAAACTCAAAATATCTCAGTATTAAAAATTACGAACGTAAATCTTAAAAACTTATTTCCTCGAAAAAATTGCAGAAAGGATTAAGCATGATTTAATTCGCAATAATAAATGAAGGCGTTATCTTTGTTTGTTGCCAAGCTACGTTTCTCTAGATTGACAAAAAATCCACTATCCTGCTGTTTCAAATGTAAACAAGCAATGGCCGCCATCGAAAAAATTATTAGGGCTTAGAGTGGCACTTAACAAACTTTAAAATTGTTGATAATTCTCAAAATATATGCATACAGATTTACTAAAGGACATAAAAACCTTAACCGGAAGATATGAACAACATATTTCAATCATTTTTAAAGCAAAAAATGTACAATTTACAAACATATAAGAGTAAAGAAACTGAGATCATTGAGCCGGGTAACAGAGTTAGATACATATATAAATATATTTATATACGTTTGGTGCGGCCGATTGCAACCAAAATACGAGGTGCACATCTACATGTTATAGCAGTCCTATATACAAAATTTCAACGTTCTGAGGCTACTCGTTTTTGAGTTATGCGAGATACGTACGTACGTACGCACGTACGTTGCCCCATATGTTTGTTAATATGGCTTTTTATTAATAGCAGTTTAATCAATCTGTACTGAAATTCAGGAGATAACCAATGACTTAAATGCATAATAATTAAAAAGAGAACTGGGTAAGTTTTAAAAACACTTTATTTGAAAATAAGAGTTGTAGAGTTTCCCTTAGTTCAGTTAACCAGTATTCAGATTTTTGTTATATTGCCTGAACTTCTCCTCGCATTTTCTCGCCGGGATGCTAATTTAAAGTAAAGTAAAGGGAGTATTGAAACGGGTGATTCTTGGAGTTTATTCAGAGGGTGTTTCCGCTAGTTAGGGCACATTACACGTCTGTCCTTGCTGTTACGTGGAATTGCTGATACGCCTTTTGGCTATTTTAATAATTATCACGCCGGATATGTTGTCAAGTCAACCTAGTTAGCCTTAACTTAAAGTGCTAGTCCATCACCATTCCTTAGCCTTGAATTTATTATGTAACGATTCTTAAGTTCCACCGCAAGTTGTCGGTATTATTGTAAAGCACGAGAGTACGTGCCTTTCTGTTCATAGTTGATAATAATAAAGGGTTACTTTCACCCTTCTTCTATGCTGGTATTATTTTACGTCTGTGCGAGAAGTCCTCGGGTTCCTTAGTATGATCTAGTAGAGTTTATGTGGATAAAGAGGTTAAGATCCTATAGAGTCCCTTTGGAAAGAAAGCTTTTAAGTTCGGTAGCTGTACCTGATGGACCATGTGGCACTGAGATGGTCATCAGGAATAAGCTATTCATTTCCAACTTGACAGTTTGCATTTACTAATGTTTACTGAAGCAATCCATCGCATTTAGTTGGAATCATTGAAGTAAAATTCTGGGAGAGAAGAGAAATAATAAAAGGAGTAGCAGGCATTTTTCAGAGGTTTAGGGTTATTTTCGCGACATTTTATGGGGAGTTCTGTCCAAGATTCGCGACAGTTTTAAAGGCATTTTTAGAAAATAACTTGACAGGCTGCTAAAGGTTAAGTAATATTACATACGATACACATCGTATCAAATAAATTTAAATAGTTTAAAATTATATTCGTGTGGCCCTATCACATTAAGTACTTAGATTGGTTTGATTATGGCAAAGCACTCTAGAAATATGCTTAAAGGAAGACATGCCTTCGTGGAGGAATTTTTACTAGAAACCAGCTCGTATCCACATTAAACTTGGAAAAAACCACGACAACTCCCATGCACTCAGTCCGTTCATCTAAAATCGAACCCGAGGCCCACCAGCGGCCGAGCGGTAACGTCGCTGAACACTGGTAGTTCGGTCCGAGGTTCGAATCCCGCGAACGGGCTGGCTGCATGGGTGTTTTCGTGGTTTTCCTCCCCATGTGTAACGTGTATACGAGCCAGTTTCCCTTAAAAAGTCCTCCACGAAGGCATCCCTCCCTTAAGGGAAGATAGCCCTCGAGTGCTTTGCCGTAATCTAATACACCACCACACCACTAAAATCGAACCCAGGTCAAACAGCCAGTGTTCAGTGATTTTGCCACTAGGCCACTTGTGAGCCCATTAACTATTTATAATGCGATCCTGTTGAATTGTTAATACTGTTCATACCAGAATCAAGATATCAATAATATGCGATGTACGTATAAGCATTAAGAGGGAATAACAAGCCCATAGAATACAGAAAGCAACATGTTAAAAGTTCACAATTCTGTTTTCTAAAATATTCAGTTGTATTGTTATACTTAAAGCTATCAGTTGTGGATAATTTAGTTACAATAACTTGGAAAGATACTAAAGCAATTTAAAGCTTTCTTCTTTCATATTATTTCATACAGCATTCATACTTTTCCAGGGGCTGGAACATATATGTCCAGCATGTTCACTATTTTAAATGCGTCTCAAGAACTTTCACTGAAGTCTCAAGAACGTTTCAGTAAGTTATGATCTAAAATTTACAGCCCACGGGAAAAGATTAAACTTAACACTATTACATAAAATATTCAATAGATAATTACTTTTATAAAATATTATATATATAACCTTATTATATTAAATATTGTTACGGTAAATGCCAATGACACAATATATAGAATACTGTGAACACATATAAAGACATGCATAAAACATGCGTTATGACCATAAATACCTAATACTTTTCTTTCATATGCATAACCTTATTACCAGGGGCGTAGCTAGAGGGGGGCAAGGGTGGCATCTGTCCCCGGGCGCAGAATCCAAGGGGCGCCAAACTGATGTTACGACGACATTTTAGAATTAAATGTTTTCCCTCCTTGGCAAGCGTAGGGGGCGCGAAATCTTCAGTTGTCCCTGGGCGCTGAAAACCCTAGCTACGACTCTGCTTATTACTTAAATGCTGTTGCTTTATTGATTACAGCAAGAAACTATAATACATCTTTAAAAGCTAACGACTCGGGATTTTATACGATTTCCACTTTGGTCTACTATTAAATCATTCACATATGACAAGAAAAAGTGATGGGACTTCATCCGAACAAAAGCACCAAAGCAATAACTAAAATTTCTGGGTGAAACAAGTATTGCAGAAGTGATCCGACCGAAAAAGAACTCTAGAAACATAAATAAATTTACATGTCAGCAAATTAGATTCGAGACATTAGGGACAAGGTGGTACAGCTATAAATATGGGACAGAGAGTTAGGTAAAGAATAAATTGCCTTGTTTGAATTTCTTCTATTTCAGCATTTAAATATTACTATACTACATCTTTTCCAGTTCTTGTAAAATTCCTTTTTGCAGTTTGATGAAGCAAAAATGATTAACTTTAGGAGTACCTAAATCTTAAATTTCAAACTCTGCAACGAAGGTTTGAGATCTTTTGTGAAATAATAAATTACTGGGGGAGATTTTCCTAATTAAGACTTGTAAACAATACTTGATGGATTAAGGATTGCTTCTTACCAAATATTCCAAATATTCGAATTTTTATTTTTCCAATGAAAAGAAAAATAATCTCGAAAAGAAACGCAAAACGTTACGAGCGACTTGAGCAAACTTCAATAACGTCACAGCCGAACGAGTCTTCAGCTTTCGTTAGTTTACCCAAATGAGCTAGCCTGTTCATCTATAGGCTAGCCTTAATCTTACACAGCATCATGGCTGTATTTAGGGAAAGCTGAAAGGACTGCAAGGCCCTGAAACGGAAATTTCAGTCTATAAATAGAACACAGTTACATTAGTTTTAGATGAAAGTCATAGCCCCCCTTCCAAAATTAAATCCTCGCTACAGTACTGCTTGGGATTTTGGTCGTTCTCCTTCTTATCACATATATCTTACACTTGACACAATTTTGTATCAGAATGTAATATAACTTTTCGAAATTTCACCTATATATCTGATTTAGGTAAATATTGTTCACAATAGAAAAAATTTTATCAACTGTGCTGAATTTCATAGCTTTCTGAAAAGAATGAATTCTATAATATCGCAAAAAAATCTAGAAAATCACTCTCTCTTATTTCTGAAAAATTCTACGCTTACCAATCAGACATGCAGAAGGGGTTCCCGATACAAGCCTAAGCCAAGCAGAAAGGATACCTATCCCGTAGATACTCATCGGATACAGAAGTTTTCGTTTTCAGGGAAGTATTTAAATACAGCACAATTTTTTTTAACTCTCTGAATACTACAGATGTGAGTTCTAATAGAACAATCCAACTCAGTAGTTATTCTACATTCGTTATGATGATTTAGTGTTACAGATTTAAATAATAATTTATGATTGCCTATTAAAACATCTCTATAGTTTTTGTTAAAGATTAAACCTATTATTATTATCAAAACTACGCGACTGCTGAAATTGTTCAGAAAACGTTACTATCCTGTTCTAAACGGTACTTATTTTAAGGTTAGGCATAAAGAATATTCTAGATTAAGTTATTTCTGTCTGAATAAAACATAGCGGGTGTAAATTAATGCTAAACTTTTAATAAACAATGTAAAAAGGGAAGACCAAAATGTACTTTGAACTATGATACGATAATTAGATATTCTTGCAAACTGTGTTCCTCTGACCACTTTTACCTCAAACTTCAAGTTTTAATTTAATTTTTTTGAGCACAGTAATGTGACATTTTCTGGACGTCTTCCAAATGAACATTCTGTTACTCTGTTGAATGCATCATCCATAAAACGGTGCCGGAAGAATCTAAAAATAATCGCGCCGGTGTTAAAGTTGTTCCACAAAACACGTTTCTTGCAAAGCAATATCTGGCATTGCGCAGAGGTTTTTTAACTTCTCTGATATTACGCGCAGGGTTCTCTCTGTGCGCAGTGTATGTAGGATAATCGTTTCATGTTTGTTGTTTGTGTTTGTGTTACTTACTGTTTTTGTTGTAATGATTATCAGCATTTTTCAATTTCTCATCATGATCGCGTGAAGCCTCTTTGATGCAGTAGTCATTTCTTTCGTTTCCAAGTATGGAGGAATTATTATTCAGTAAACAGCTCGTACCTTCAATCATCTGTGGCCTTCTCTGTTTAATATCAGGTATGTGTTTTATTTGTGATTTTTAAATTCTTATAGCGTAAAGTAATTAAATAAATCATTGCATTGTTATGAATGAATTTTCACGTGCATTATGCTTGCAGTTCTATTTTTTGTGCATCTTTGAAAAGTAAAGTAATTTGTCATTTATACTTCATGTATCAGCTACTTGGATCGAAATTGATTTGTTTAATTTTTCTGTATATAAGCATTTTAATACAGTGTATGCCAGGGTATAGCCAGCTTTAAATATGGATTTTTTTTTTCGTTCAGTTTTTCTTTTTAATGCTGTTTCACATTTTGCAATTTTAATTCCGCAATTACCGTGGTTCGTCGATACTATGAACATGTATAGGCTTCTCGCGATCCATTGCAAAAAATTTTCAGAGGGAGTTTGCATCAGTGTCACTTAACACGCGAGTGCTATTATCTTTTAAAAATTTAAACCATTTATGAGAAATATTGAAACCATTTATGAAATATCAATGATATTCATGTGTTATGGTAATACATGCAGAGTATTGAATAAAGTAAATATTAGGAACCTGTAAATACCGATTTCAAATTAACTGTATAATTAAATATAAAGAAAGTATAGAGCCGAAATATAGAATTGCCGGCGACCCACGCCGTTAACAATTGAAGTTAGAATGCATTAACTTTTATTTTGTGGATTGTAAAGTAGTTGTTTATTCTAACTTTTGCCTCTGATGAATGTTATGTTATTATTTCGAATTATAATATAATTTTAAATTCTAAAATATTTTTATAATATGTAGGTGTAATGATTCATAAAATGGTACTTTATTATAAATTTTCTAATTTATAATTAAAAAAAGTGCTTTTTTGTTGTATTTATAATCATTTGAAATATATCTTTTAAGGTAGTTATTTTATTTACTTGAGTTTATATTTTAAAGCAGCTGTAATATTTGTGAAGTTTAGCATTTCACATTTTTAAAACTGAATTAGCCTGGTGAATAAAATTTGGCGTTTTCAAGCTTGACACTTCATTCTGAGATAATGCTTATAATATATTCATTTTACAAATACAAAGTCTTGCCAAATTTTTGCTTCTTTTAATTAATTTTATGATTATAAACTTTATATTAACCTTCTGTGTTGTGTTCTAAATTTTCTCTAATAATTGCTCAAGCTTTCCATTTTTTACTATGCATGCCTTGTTTTGCATAATAGAGTGTATCTACATAATATAGTTACCCTTCTCTAAGATGACCCACACTATGTTAGCCAGTTGTGGCGGTGTGGTTTTAGAGAAATCAATAATTAAGGCTTTGGGAGTTTTGCTAAGAAACATTTTGAAGTATATTTGTGATATGGCAGTTTATTAATACTGTTAATAAATTTATGAATTAATTACAAAACGAAATATATAATCTGATAAAAATAAATGATTACTTTACATGTCAATTTTTTTTAAAGTACTGTAAGTATGTAATATTTTAAAATACGAGAATACTCATTAAAATATTTGTCTACTGACATTTGCTGTTCTGATTTGAGACAGATCACTAGCACAGGCTACAAAAATGTAGAAATTCTAGAAATGTTTAATCCATTAGGAAAGTTATTATTCTGAAAGATGCGTATATATAAGAGGCTGAATATATGGGGCGGATGAAACTACTTCTGTATAGTTGAACTCTACCCCATTCATTGTAGGACACTGTGAGGAGGTTTATATCCTAAAGTGTATTTATCATTTATCAAATATAATGATATTAATCTTGTTCCAAGCCATGAAATAACTAATGCCATTTCACTGATGAAATTATATGATAATTTGCTCAATTTCATTTCAGAACATGAAAAAATGTATGATACAACAAAAAGTCAGATAGCAATTTGGTTAATCTTTGGATTATGGTAACTTGGTGATTTTTTCGTGAAAATTTGGCGACCAACTCTGCTACAGCAACCCTCTATTTTTTTTTCCTCGCCGCCATTTTGTCTTCACGAAGTAAAGGCATGTTTCTTTTCTTTTTATTTACTCAACACTTTTTCCAACAATCTGCTAGCCGAATTACACTTATGCTAGAAATTTTATGGAACAAAACTGCTTAATCAGACAAATATTAACTGCAAAATTGGGAAAAAGTTGCAGAATCGCAAAACCCTTGCCGGTTTTTCAAAATTGCACATACACAGTAACCATGTACACGTCGACTTATTTTACTTAAAAAAAATCCCAGAATTACACAAAAATGGCATTGTGCACATGTTGACTTTATCCATCTACACTGCTTTTTTTCTCATAAATTGAAAAATTCACGAAAAATGCAAGAAAATTTTGTGAATCTTTAATTCGGTAAAAAGCACATATATGAAATTACTGATCGTGAAAAAGTAGATACCCTTTCCAAGGATGAACATTCCACGTATAATATAAATAAAATATCCAAAAACTTTTACCTCTAAATTATCTATTATAAACGTCACCAACGAATTTATAACAAAATATTAAAAATGGTTACAAATACTTAGTGTCAAATATTTAAATTATTTCCATGCACTTTACTTCCACTCAAACATATACAAATTGCTACAAATAATAATTCACAAAATAACTATCATTTAATTAAAATATAATTAAAACCATGTACACGTCGACTTATTTTTACTTAAAAAACATCCCGAATTGCACAAAAAATGGCATTGCACACACTCTTCACTATATCCATGTACACTGCTTTTTTCTCATAAATTAGAAAAATTTCACGAAAATGCATGAAAATTTTGTGAATCTTTAAATTTGGTAAAAAGGACATATATGAAATTACCTGATCACGAAAAAGTATATACCCTTTCCAAGGATTAATATTAGCATGTATAAAATAAATAAAATATCCAAAAACTTTTCCCTCTAAATTATCTATTATAAACCTCACCTGCCAATTTATAATGCAAACATTAAAAATGGTTCCAATTACTTAGTGGCAAATACTTAAATTCTTTCCATGCACATTTACTTCTACTCAAACGTATTCCAAAATACTACAAACATGTAACTCTCAAAATCACGATCATTAAATTAAAATATAATTAAATTAAAAAAACTACTTAAAATATAAATAAGCACATGCATTAAATTAATAAAAATTAGCTTACAATCCTAATTACTTTAAACTAAATCATTGCTAATAACAATTTTCCAATAATACCATATTAATTTATTTACTGCTTACATTTAGAACAATGCATAAAAATAATATCCTCAGATAATTAAAAATACTAACTTACCTAATCTTCTACAGAATCTTGAGTGCATGATGGATCACAAAATGTCCATTTTCACCAGATTTCTTGCACCGCCATTCAAACTTATCTGTAATATCCTTCCTTTCACACAATCTCATTTCATTCTCACATGTTGGACATTCATACTTATCCGCAATTAAGCAATTCTTTTCAATTACACATAAACGCAATAAAAATTTCAGATTTACTTTATATAGGGCCATGGGATCCAAATATTAAACAACACTGTTTCACAGAACATAGAATGAAACTAACGCTATAAAGTACGGCAGATATTTTTACAAATTTACCCCCTTTTTCAATTAAAGAACAGGGATTCGTCCATTAATGTCACATGACATATGTCATGATCCCTCATTTCCCTCACACAAAATAATGCGTAATCGGAACTGAGTACTTCTCACATTATTCCCAAAGTCCTAGGTAGTAACCTTTATCGCCTGCAAAATGTCCCAAACTACCTGTTACCATATTGTAAGCAGTGGGCTGAATTATTCAGGTTGAAAGAAAATGGAAAACAAAGATATTCAGCATTAATGAAGTTGATGAAAACTGTCTTTTGCTTCCACAAACACATTGTTGAAAATGAATTTAATTACACTGTTTGACATTGAAAATGCAACACAAAGAATGAGTGGTCAGAAAGTGATGAAATTTGGAAAAAAGAGACAGCAAGCTGTAATAAATGATCTTTATTTCAAAATGATAGTCAGGACACAGAGCGAGAACGGTGTCGGCTCAGTAGGATGTAGGACCACCGTGGACAGCGATGCACGAAGAAAGTCTAGGCATAGAGTCAATAAGAGTGCGGATGGTGTCTTGAGGGATGGCTCTCCATTCCCTTTCAACATATGCCACAGTTCGTCTTCTGAACGAGGCAGGAGAGTCTGCAAATGGCGTGCAATCACATACATCCCACACATGTTCGATTGGTGACAGGTCAGGAGAGTACGGTGGCCAGGGAAGCATCTGTATACCTTGCAGAACACGTTAGCAGATGCGAGCAATGTGTGGTTGGGCATTATCCTGCTGAAAAATTGCATTAGGCAGCCCCTGTAGGTAGGGGATTGCCACCGGCCGCAGTACATTATTCAAGTATCGTTGGGCAGTCATAGTGCCCTGAATATGAACTAGAGGTGACCTGGAATTGTAGGCAATAGCTCCCCAAACCATTATGCCACATTGTTGCACGGTGGGGCGTTCCACAGTTACTGCTGGATTAGATCTGTTTCCATGTCGACGACACACACATATGCAGCGACTATCACTGGATAAACAGAAGCGTGACTCATCTGAAAACACAACATTTTGCCATTCTGTCATCCACATGGCTCCAGTCTGGCACTATTCTAAACGTTGGCATCTATGCTGTAAGGTCAATGGCAGTCTTCTTTACGTACGCTGTGCGTGCAGGCCACGTTCAACCAATCGATGGGAAATGATTCTGGTCGACACGGGAACATCAACTGTATCTTGCACATGCTGCAGAATCGTGGTACAAGTGACTTTCGGGACCGCCACAGCTTGTCGGCGGATGCGTCGATCCACACGGGCTGACATCACTCTGGCTGCACCTGCACCCCTCCTTCTTCCCACATTTCCTTGTTCCAATCATGTTCGCCATAGCTGATGCACCGTGCTTGTATCCTTGTAGGTATCAGCTGCAATTTGACGTAAGGACCAACCTGCCCTTGTTAGTCTGATCACCATACCCCTCGTAAGATCGTCTATCTGCTGGAAGCGCCTTCGTTGACGGCAGCCTGGCGTTCTCTACTATTACACGTATCTCCGGGACAAAATCCAGCTTTCTTTGATAATTCGTCTAGCAGAAATAATGACACGAATATTGCCCATTCTGCACGTTCCTTCCATTATATCCTACTTCACGTGTGTCGGAGAGCTGCGCATTTCACATCATTCGCATAACTCAGTGACGTGCGTCTACTCTAAAATTTGCATAAATTTTTTACCACTCCTTTTTTGTGTTGCATTTTCAATGTCGAGCAGTGTATATGGATGGTATTATAACAATGTAGAACATCCTTGAATACTGATAACCACTACATGTTAGCAGTTCCTCATCTCCGACAACTGATTCAGATTCTGATCTAGTACTTGAAAGTTACATGAAAGTCTACTTTAAAATAGCTTGCTGATTATGTTGAACTTTTAACATTATTTAAGAAATGCATAAAAATATAAATGGAGCAATCAGAACTTAATCCTGTCTCCTCAAAAGCAAGTTTACTTTAACATTTATTTTTTTAAATATTCCAAAACCAAAGGGCTAAGTAACTTTAAAATGATGTTATCAAACATAAATTAGCATTTAATAAATTAAAAAGTATGATGTATTTTCTTTCACTAATGAAAATGTTTGAAAATATATATATATATAATTTACATCGATTTTTTGAATTACTTAAAATTATGTTAGATTTTTACTCCATAGTAATTTTCAGGATGGAGCAGCAATTGCTCGTGCCAGTTATTACATCAGAAACAATCATTTCTGGACTGATTTATTATATAATATCAGACATGAAGGGAAATTATTAGTGTAACAATATAGAAATATGATAAATCATATAAAGGAAGCTGGTTCTTAACATATATATGTATATATTGTCTATTAATTTTTTTAAAGGTATTTACTGTCTGTAGCTTATTCATGATATATGTTCTTTATTTTATTAAAGGGGCATTCATAAAAATTTATATATAAAAGCTGTAATATAAATTCTCATCAGAACTGTTTTATTACTTTATTTTATATTGTGTTATCAACTAGGTCAGATTGAAAGTATCAGAAATTAAAATTTTATTAGAATATATCAAAATTAAAATCTGTAATTATATATTTTAGTAAAAATATATTTATTAGTACCCCTTGGCGATTTTTGGCGGTGCATGGATACCAAGTTTGTGCAATTCTTTGACTTGTTATTTTGTTTTGTAGCGGTGATTTTTACGGTAAAAATCACCGCTACACAAACCCAGAATAATAAGACAAAGAATTGCACGAACTCAGTATCCATGTACACGTCGACCTATTTTCACTTAAAAAAAACATCAGAGAATTGGACAAACTAGGCATTGCACACTCCCTTGACTTTGTCCATGTACACATCGAACTATATTCACTTAAAAAGTCAAAGAAGCAACCAACAAAATATATATAAACTCAGTAAACTACATTTTAAAGCAAACATTGAAATAACATAAAAAAGGAAGTTCATCTGTGCACTACACAAACGAAATATCCACTTACCTTATTTACGAATTAGCATTTCTTCAGTCAAACAGGTTCCTTAACAGCATCCAAAAACTTCCTAAAATTATTTGAACTAGAATCTGTATAATGGCATCGCCACATAAATTCACAAAATAAGAGTAAAAAACCCCTCTGATGCGCCGTTATCGTTCGCCGTTTGCCCATACGGCATTTCCTTTCTACACGCAGGACATTTAATAATGGCTACTAAGTAAACCTTCATTATCAGTCAAGTAATGCTCTTTTCCTCTTTCTTTCCAAATCATACAGAAACATCAAATTAATCTTACTACATTCAGCCATTTTACAGTCTAAACCACAAAACAAGCAATATACTCCCTAACCAACACACCACCACCAAGCTCTTACAAATTTACAGCAATCATGCAACCGATTACATCATAATATGATTTCCATAACATTCAACTACTCAGGCTACCATAAATGAAACACCAACTTAATGATAAATGAAACATCAACTTGGCAATAAATGAAACAACAACTTCATGTTAATACAAGGGGCACTCTTCTGTCTACTCTAACCTATATTTTCAATGAAATGAAATTATAATATAGCTTCTGTATGAAAATGTTGTTCATTGTACGTATCCTGTGTGTTCAAAAAATCACAAATCACAATAGATCATGTGCTAGAAGAGCACTTACAGTTTTTTGTAATTTGTGTACTGTTATTATATTCATTTTCGGTACTTTTCCGTTTCGCTTGCGCAAATCTCGCCAAGCAGACTTTATTGGCGACAACATAGAGCATACATATACAAAATGTTTACAAATGTTGGTTCTAAGAATTTTTTATTTTGAGGGCATAAATATTTTAATATCGTTTAAATTTTATAAAAAGTCAATAAATAAAGACAATAAATTTGTAAAAAGTCATTAATTTAAGAATTTACTATGCTTTCTTTGGTACAACATCCTGATTCACGTGACCCCAAGTGATCTCATCTCACGTAAACTACGCTACACAAATCTAATTCTCTCGCTAATTATCTACACTAATTTCAAGCTAAATCTAAATTTGAAATACAAGTTTAAATGCAAGAATTATTTCAATTTGTACGAATAGCTTACTCAGAAATTATGTAAAACCGCAGTGCTTTACTTCGCTAGTGTATTCTCATTAGAATTGATGAAATTAACCCTTGATTTTGCCTTTTGTATAGTTGCACCTTTAGGTGAGCGGTTTGATTGCATCCTAATTGACTTAATTACCGTGAATAGTCTTAGGGCATAAAATTTAGCTATCTTGTAAAAATTCTATGTAATTGTATGCCAGTATTGAAAAAAAATCAATCTGATAAGAAATGGCTGTGATTTGTTTTTAAAATGAGGCATAAAATGTTACCAGCAAAGATATTCTTTTTGGCATCAGTTGTACCATTATTGGCGACTTTATTGCCTGCGCCAGCAAAATGGAAAAGTACCCAAAATTCATAGCTGTATAATAAATTAATTAGCTCTTACAAACTAATTTATACAGCTAATTAATTTCTTTTTATTTATATATGAGCTGAAATATGTACATTTACTGTAGAAAGAAAAATCTCGGTTATATCTTTATTTTAAAATAAAATACATGTTGTTCAATCTTTTGCAAAAATTGCTTCATTTTTCCTGTCGAGATGTTCCATGTATCCTTAAAACTCTTTCGTACCCCCATCTGCAGTTAACTTTTTAATCGTTTAGTGACAATGAATTCGTCTTAATAATTCATCCATCTTAAAGGTTAAAGTGCAAGCATGTAAGAGGAAAAAATAAGGAGAAAATGCTACTTAGCGAGATATACTATTGGGAGTGCTTTAGAAATAAAAAATATGGTATAGGTAATTTCTGGGAGCATTGTATAGAATAGTTATTAGAGATAGAAAAACTGAGATAAAGTAATTTCCATAATAAAGCACTTTTTGTTTAAGGGGGGAATTTAAGCATACAGTCAAAAGTCTTTTAATCCAGACTCGTCGAGACTTCGGCGATTCCAGATTATCGATTTTTCCGGATTATAGATCATCAGTTTAAATCTGGTAAGATGGCTAGTGCATTCTCATTAGATTGGCCTTAGGGCATAAAACTGAACTATCTGGTAAAAATTCTATGTAATTGTATGCCAGTATTGAAACAATCAGTTGATACGAAATGGCTGCGACTTGTTTTGAAAATGAGGTGTAAAAGGTTACCAGCGAGGATATTCCGTTTGGCATCAGTTGTACCATTATTGTCGACTTTATCACCTGCGCCGGCAAAACGGAAAAGTACCACATTTTCTTATTAATTTGTTAGATTTATTATAATATGGATAAAATTTACAAAGTTTTTTATTGTTTTTCAGCTGTTTCCAGCATTGATTTCACTACTAGTACAACGTACGTTCAGAAGGGTGGAAAGTTCATCCTCGCATGCAGAGTTGCAGGAATTGGTATACATCTTTGGTATAAAGATGGAAAGCCGGTAGTGCCAAACTCTGTCAATAAATTTCATCTGGAACAAGACTCTCTCACATATTCCCCGGAGGAATTAGATTTTTTCACAACTATGCGTCTTATAGTTGAAGACGCAGATTCTATTCATACGGGTGAATATAAATGTAACAGTAATGGTGTATATCATCAAAACGTCATTGTTGTTACTGGTAAGAAATATCTATAAAAATAGATGAAAAAATATTCCTTACAGTGTTACATAATCATTGAGTATTCTTTCTGTATACTTCTTTTCTGTGATTAAAAATTTTTAGAATATATGATGTGTTGTGTTATTATTCCAGAATGTTCATCGTATAACTTTGCTGATAAATTATTTTTGTGTGATACTATCTGAAAATTTTATATTTTAAGTGTTATTTTCAATGTATAGATATGAAAAGTAATACTAACGTGTATAAGATGTTTATGGGTTTTAGGCTTTTTACATTTCCAGTTAAAAGATGCATTTATTTTAAGCATACTTGTTAATTACTATTTTTTTTTAATGTAGCTGCATCTAACAATATGCAGTTCTGTTCCCCACCTCCAAATATTGTGGTGTCTTCTTTCTGTATTTCTTAAACAACATTTAAATTTGTGAAAGTTTATAGTTTTATCTCTCAAATATCATTTTTTATTATCATCGCATTTTATCATATTTAAACAAATGCTCAGAATTGCTTTTTATTATTACATAATCTAAATTTTAAAAATTTATTTCATCCATATATATAAACTTATATAGCTGTAGAGCAGTGGTATTCAAATTTTATGTAGTGCGAGCCCATAAAAATGCAGTCAACTCCCAAAAAACAGTCTTCCATTCATAGCATTGACCTTTAATTATGTTCCATCAAATTCAGAATTTTTTTTTTTTTTTAATATTTTTTTTATTTATCCACCTTGTTTGAATACCGCTTCTCTAGAGCATTGTTAAGTATGCATTATATTTTGAACTTTTCCGTTTCTCAAAAATCTGCACCTTTCTCATAGCATCTATGGTTGAATAGAAGTTCTTTCATATTTCTGTTCTATTTCATCAATCCATGCTGGACAACTGTAATTGCCATGTGTGTGTATTGTGCATTTATTAGTGCTGATCAGTGGTTATATTAACCTTCCATCATTTTTCCAGCACACAATTAACTTCCTCTCTGTGAACACTTTATCAGTGGGATGTAAGAAACAGCAGGAACTTTTTTGGTTACCTCGTAGCTATGATTTCATTTAAATTGTATTTAATGATCTCAAAATCTGTATGAAAATGAGTTGTTTCACATTTTACTATTATTTATTTGTTTATTTATTTATTTATTGAAGAAAATATGATAGAACCAAACGAAGATGAACCAGGCATGGGCAAGTTACTGATTCCTGGAGAGCCATTAGTTTTACAGTGTAATACGTCTGAATGTCCTCATTGTACAGTAGTATGGTAAGTTCATGCTTATTGTTACTTACAAAAATACTATATTTTTACTTATTATTTTATTGGTTTGTTGTTTATATACTATGTTTGCAATTAGAGTAACATTTAATGAAGGTAATCTTCGTTAAATTATAACCTTTCCATCCAAAACCATAATCTGCTTAGAGCATTTTAAAACTACTAGTTTTATTTAAGGAGCTATTGATACAGTCAAAAGTCGTTAATCCGGACTCGTCCGGACTTCGGCGATTCCGGATTATCGATTTTTCCGGATTATAGATCATCAGTTTAAATCTCGTAAGATGGCATGCAGAAATTCTAAAATTAAAAATATGAAACCGTAATTTATGAAATAAAGAACAATTATGATCTAAAGGGTATCAAAATTTGCAAAAAGAAAAAGCTTAATATTTATTTGTTTACTTTATTAAACATTTCTTTCAATGTAAGTTGTTAAAGTTTTGCTTCGTTTCATGTGATAATACTTTCTCTTTAATTCTATTAAACAGACATAATTTCTTGTTCAGTTACAAAGTTCCGCCGTTCAAGTCCTATAATTGCTGTGTCAAGAACACCGACTAATTTGTCAATCGAAATTTTTTCGTTTTCAATAACCTCTGTTACTTTTCTTCACTATCGGAAGCGAATTATAATGACGAGGAACTTGTTTTAAATCATATCAAAGACGGAGCATATCCAGATGAAATACTACATTTGGTAAGGAGTTATAAGCCAAATAAAAACATCTGCGCTGAAGATAAGGATAGTGCTGACAAATCAACTTCCAATTCATTACGCGTCGGCCGCAGCGTTCCCCCCGCCCAGCAGCAGTGTGAAATTGATAAACAGATTTCGGATTTCAAAACAGACTTTCGCTTTAGATCCTTTACATATTAACAAATATATATCGGAAATTCTATTTGATATAATCGAAAGTTTAAGCTTACTTTTATAAAATTGCTCTTACAGTCTGCAAAAAATAATAAGCCGGATCCAATTCGAAAAATTAAGGAACAACGCAATCATCAACATTAACTGAAATAGAGGTCCGGATTATATATCATTCCGAATTATGGGTGTCCGAATTAACGACTTTTGACTGTAGTAGATATATTTCTTTCATTTGAAGAGAGATCAGTTTCACATTGCTAAAAAATGAGGTGCATCTAAAAGTTGAATGCTTTTTAGTGTTGCAGAGTTTTTTTAATTTCTGTATTCTGAAGTAATTTTTTCAAGTTATATAAATAAATAAGAATACATTTATTGTTAATAACTGAAAATTTGTTATTTAAAAGTTTGATGGATTTATTTTATCCATCCCCCCCCCAAGTGTCTTCTGTTTCTGTCTTTGGTACTGAAATATCAATGGTGTTCATGCGATGCGTGCGTTGTTATACAACAACTCCAAATTAACTAGATGTGGACTGTACTAATTAATATTTTATTCTAAAACCTTAATCACATGCATGCCATCTTTCAAGCGATGACTACTACTAACAACAACAGCAATAAAAACTGAGCGAGCATTTACAGGGTTGCTGTAATGAACATTTGTGCCGTGGAAAACGCCAAGAAGGGAAAAAATGACGTAATCTTAAAGCGAAATAGTCCTAATGACTGAACATACCCCCCCCGGCATGGAAGGGTTACTTCAATAATTTCGTGCCATACTACTCATAATAACATACAAAATGGTACAATTACAACCTTATACAATAACGCAATATGAATAACATCTCAATTCAATACAATAATATTCAATTTTCAATACAAAATTTTATACACAATACAAGTTACAATACAAGCTTTATAATAATAAGTTAACACTTAACTAACTTAGGAAGCTTCTTCCTGGGGTTGCAATTTTTGTAATTCCACGCTTAATAATGCCTTTATAATATGTATTAATAATGCCGCTTAATACGTTTAATAATGCCTAAATAATACAGTCAAAAGTCGTTAATTCGGACACTCATAATCCGGACCTCAAAGCTACAAACTTTCTGCGCATGCGTCGCGTTGACACGTGCGCGTAAGACCTTTACGGCTGCGAATATGCTTGTGCGCGTGTGCAAAATACGTTTACGGGTGCGCGTTTAATGTATAGCGGATGGCATAAGCTAAGCTAAAATTATCTAATTATCTATTTCAGTTAATGTTGCAGATTGCGTTGTTCCTTAATCTTCGAATTGGATCCAGCTTATTATTTTTTGCAGACTGTTAGAGCAATTTTATAAAAGTAGGCTTGAACTTTCGATTATGTCAAATAGAATTTCTGATATATATTTATTAATATGTAAAGGATCTACAAAGCGAAAGTATGTTTCAAAGTTCATTAAACACAAAGTGGAATTGCTGCAAAAAATGGATAAAGGCATATCCTTTGTTTATCTAAACTTTAACATTTGTTTATCTAAACTTTGTTTATCTTTAACGCCGCTTGAATTAGAAGCACTATCCTTATCTTCAGGGCAGATGTTTTTATTTTATTTGGCTTATAATTCCTTACTAAATGTAGTATTTCATCTCGATGTACTCAGTCTTTGATATGATTTAAATCAAATTCCTTGTCATTATAATTCGCTTCCGATAGCGAAGAAAGTGACAGAGGTTATTGAAAGCGAAAAACTTTCGATTGACAAATTAGTCGGTAGACACAGCAATTATAGGACTTGAACAACAGAACTTTGTAACTTAACAAGAAATTATGTCTGTTTATATAATAAAAGAGAATGTATTATCACATAAAAAACGAAACAACTTACATTGAAAGAAATGTTTAATAAAGTAAACAAATAAATATTAAGCTTTTTTTTTTTTTTTTTTTTTTTTTTTGTGTAAAACTTTGATACCCTTTAGATCATAATTGTTCTTTATTTCATAAATTACGGTTTCATATTTTTAATTTTATAATTTCTGCATGCCATCTTACCAGATTTAAACTGATGATCTATAATCCGGAAAAATCGATAATCCGGAATCGCCGAAGTCCCGACGAGTCCGGATTAACGACTTTTGACTGTATGTATTTCTACTACCCTAACCTTACCATCCACTCCTGCGCCCCAACACCCATCCTCCTTAACTAGTACTAGCATACCGATTTTAATATTCGTTTGTTCTACTTTCCATTTTGAATGCTGTTGTAGTGTGTTTAAATAGTCCCTATGCCAACGATTCCATATCAACTGGACAAATCTGGTAGTTCGTTTCCATCTTGAGAGTCTGTTTTCAGGTATATCAATTAATTCGGGTTCTACTATAGCATTCAAGGGTCTTCCAATGAGAAAATGGCCTGGTGTTAATGCCTCTAAATCATTTACATCGGAAGATAAGGGAGTAATAGGGCGAGAATTTAAAACAGACTCTATCTGAGTTACTACAGTTAATAACTCCTCGAAAGTCAACCTTGCATTACCTACAATCCGCTTTAAGTGATATTTCACGGATTTTATTCCAGATTCCCATAGTCCACCAAAATTAGGTGTCCGTGGGGGAATAAACTTCCATACTATTCCTTCTTCACCTAAATAATCTGCTAATTTTTTGTCAGGATTTCTAATTAAATTGTTAATTCTTTGCAATTCGGCATTTGCGCCAACGAAGTTTTTTGCGTTGTCTGAGAAAATGATTGAGCATTTTCCGCGCCTAGCAATAAATCTCTTTAAGGTGGCAATAAATGCGTCAGTGGTGAGGTCACTCACTAGTTCGAGATGCACTGCCTTTGTTATAAGGCAAATGAAAAGAGCTAAATATACCTTATGAAGAGTTCCTTTCCTCTGTCCCTTGTACCTAATAAAAAATGGGACCGCAAAAATCGGTGCCGACATGATTAAAGGGTGAGCTTGGATTTACGCGCTCTGCAGGTAATGACCCCATAATTTGTTCGATAGTGACTGGTTTATTTTTACTACAAAATTATACATTCATGGGTAATCTTTCTAGTTAAATTCCTACCTTGTAATGGCCAAAATTTCTGTCTGTCTCATAAAACACAATAATGCTTGCAAACCTACGTGTAAATATTTCCGATGATAATGCTCAGCAATCAGCTTAGTTAGTTTGCATTTAGCAGGCAAAATTATTTGATTTTTATGTAAAAACCTTACATTGGCCCCTCGTCTCATTACATTATTTGCATCTAAAAGAGGGGTTCAAAGAAAGTAAATTACTTTTATTATTAATGGGTTTACCTTGTGCGAGGGAGTTGTAATCTGAATAAAAAACTACATTTTTGAACCTCTCTTACTAAAAAGGATTCTTCTGCCTCATTTAACTCCTTTGAACTTACTCCTCCTGTTCTTCTCTGTGCTCCTTTCTGTTTTGCACACCTAGAGTTCCAAATGAACCTGAAAATATAACTAACAATACGTAATAATTTTAAATAATTGTTAGTGATATCTAGGACATTATCAATAAATTTTGAAGGCAAAGTGCATAAACAAGCAATGTCAGTTCTTTTTCTCAGTTCATTAGAAAATGTCTCTGTTTTTTCTAATTGTTCAAAGTCAATGTTCTTGTTAGGTATGACACCTTCACTCAAGAATGGAGGACCTTTCCACCACAGATCAGCATCATGCAGCTTGTCAAAATTCAGTCCTCGGGAAATAAGGTCTGCTGGGTTCTCCTCTGAACGCACATAATTCCACTGGCATGTCTGTGTTAGCTCTTGGATCTGCAACACTCGATTAGCAACAAAAGTTTTTAGTACATGCGGGGGGGATTCTGAAGCCATGCTAACACTATGGTTGAGTCACACCACAGACATATTTTACTGATGTCCAATTTCAATAAAGGCACCACCTTTGCAACAAGCTGTGCTAGCAGTACAGCTGCGCAGAGTTCCAGTCGAGGTACTGTCAGCGGTTTTAGTGGAGCTACTCTGGACTTGCTGCAAAGCAAATGTGAAGATAAATTATTGTCACTTCTACAGCGTAAATAGATGGCTACTCCGTATGCGTGTTCTGATGCATCTGAAAATCCATGAATTTGTATATCAGAAAAAA